ATTTTTCCATAGAAAAGGCTTTGACTAAATTTCTTTACAAGATTGGTAATCAGACAGGTCATTCATAACGTTTGGCCCCATACTGTCATCTACTTATTTAATAAACTCAAGAGCATCTATTTGTTGAACTGATGATATAATTTACCTTTTTGATATGGATTTAAAAAATGCGCTGCCAGGTGTTAATTTTTTAAAATTATTATTTTTTTCAATTGAAATTTTGTTTGGAAATCTATTTCTTCTGTGTGTGTTATTAATGATTCTGGAATACATCCGTAAGTAATAAATGTTTCAATATTATTTAGTATTCCTACAACTTTATGTATAACTGGATTATCGTGAATTATTTCTAGTGAAATGAAACGAAACACTATAGTTAGTTTATTTTGAAACGTGGTTACTTTAAAGAATCGAGATAACTTATGATAGGGGTTCCGTCTATTAAAAAAACATTTAACCAAATTTCGGGTAAGTAAATAAACCCATTGGTAAATACCCACAATGTTTTTCAATTACACAAATATAATTTGAAAATAAATATTTTCTGAATAGCAATGGCGAACTGAATATGAGTCATGAGGCCAACATGGCTGGTTAATTGGAGTAGATGTATCGTTCTTAATGATGTGACGGAACAAATGTTAAGTGTGGCGGCGTATATTTTGTGAGACAACTGGCAAGCATAAATAAATTTACCATTTGTTTATTAAACACAAAATCATCAGCGACCAAAACTATAGGGTGACTTTTTTTTAAACGAATTATAACTGTGATAAATGGTGGTTACAAGAGAATATGTAGAACGGCAAGTTAACCGATCAACTGTCGATTAGAGGCGTTAGAAGTGTGCGAACATAATAATTAGGACGAGATGGATGTTCGTTGTGGAAAGGTTAACAGTTGACAACTTGCGAACACGATCGAACATGTCATATATAATCAATTTAGCTAATAGGACAATGTATTAGAGACTGCCATTCTTTACTCAACAATAATTTCGTGTATCATTCAGTATTATGAAAATATTTAAAAATTAAGAAATTTATACTTGATAAATATAATAACTGAATTGTTTTCGTATATGTATGCTTATTAAACAAACATATAAATATTAGATTTATTAGAATTTTAAAAGCTATTTTTTCTATATTTCATTGAATTTACTTTATTACCCAGTAAAATGATTTTTGATTTGAAATATTATTTAATTAGCTGTAAAACAAAAACTTACTATTTTGAAATAAAATTATGAACAAACGATGAAATTTTTATATATGCTCTCTTGTATAATCCTAAAGCATTGATGTTAATACTTTTTATGTTTATGGTATGTTTTATATTATCTATCCCAAAAAATTGTATTTCCGAAAACATTAATTTCTTTAAATAACAAAAGTGAGTTAATGTTTTTATTTTTATTAAAGCCGACACTATTTAATGTTAAAAAAATTAACTATATGATTGATGATTTTAAGTAATTTTGATAAGTTTTGTATTTGTCCAAAAGATAATATTGTATAATTAACTGTTAATCAATAATTAATCAAAGTTCACTCACAATATCTTTACTATTGTCTAACATAAACTTTTTAAAATTTTGATTTGCTAAATCGTTTTAATTAAAACCTTAATTATTGAATTAAAATTCTTACAAAAGAGAAAAGTTTAACATTTATTTTACGATTAAAATTTAATTTATAAAAATAAAAAAAGAAACAAAATTTTTATCAGTAGTTATTTTCTTTATCATATATATCATTATAATTATAACTTTTATTTTTATTTTTATACATTTCATTCTTAACAAATGATCAACTTAATTTTTGTAATAAAACACGTTTGTAATATGTAAAAAATATTCCAAATTCAATGGTCAGCATTAATATAATCTGTTTATATTAAATTATGGCTATACAAATAATAGGTGGGTAGATAGGTTAGTATTTTATTTATTGAATAGGACAATTGCTTAACTATATTTTACGTTATTACTTTAAAAATATAATATACAGTATTTTTTTTCGGAAGTTAATGGTATCCTACATTTTATAATTATAAAAAATGTAGTCACCCGTTCTTCCTCACATAATTTGTTTTTAAATCTTTTTAGAAAATGATTCTTCGATAATTACTTTTGAGCTAGTATTTTGGCAGTTATTAGCACTTTTCTATTAATACAAGAGGAGTAGTGCGATTTATAAATGCTTAAGGATAAAAATCTTAAATGTTACTAAGTAAATACTGTGTACTTTACTAAATAAATAGTTATATTTTAATTCAGTTTATAAATAGTAAATATAAACACGAATGGTACAAAAACGTTTTACCAAATCGATGTTGTGTTCATCGAATATGTTAATTATGTTTAGGATTATTAATTTTTAGAGTAAAAATTATTACAAGGAAAAAAGTTTAACTAAACTTCTAAAAAAAAATTTAAGATTTAAATATTTTTGAAAAGATAATACTGATATACTATAATTTAAATAGAAAATAACTAAATCTTATACATTGACAACACAATCTAAAAATATGATGTACTTTTTTTTTTGAGATGTAATTAATTTTTCTTTTAAAATTATCGTTAATTTATTAAGGTGTAGTTTTCCAAAAGATCTAATAATTTTATTAAGAATATATTTTTTAATATGAAATAATAGCTTCTGATACTAATAATACTTTTGATGTAAATTCAACTGACTATTGTAAATGAAAATTTAAATTAATAATTTATCAGTCAATGAGTAGTTTTTAGGTTTTTTTTTAAATAAAAATAATTATTATAATATATTAATATATTTTATCAACTTTGATTGTTTAAATATAAACATTGGAAGAAAACAATTTATAAACGGAAAATGATCCATCTACGAAAATGACTTGTAGATAACAACTTTTTGACTAGTCTTATTGAAATTATTAATTCTTGATTTTAAAGACTGGCGATAAAGTACTGTTCTGTTTATTTTTATCTCTAGACATTAATAAACTATACTACTATCCCTCGTTTTATTATAAAAATACTAATGTATTTTAAGTTTGAAAGTTGATTAAATATAAATGATTACATTTAAAAAATATTTCGTTTTTTAAAAATTTAAGTGGGATAGACGGTTGATAGGACCTAATTGTTTTCTGGAAATTATAGTACGTAGGATACTAAAAAGAAAGAAATTATATTATGTTTTATATTTATATAGACATATCATGAAGTTTTAGTTAAACAATCAATCTGTATTTATAAAATTTCACATATTGACAATCCATGTCAATAGACATTAAGTTTTCTGATAAGTATACTAAGAAGAAAACTTTACGAATATTTGTTTTCATAGATAGTACAAATATATTTATATATATTGAAACTTCAGGATTTTCGAAATCCGGCGTTAAAAAAACAAATGAAAATTTAAAAACTTTTTAAACTAGTATTTTAAATTTTTTATGATAAAGAACTTAGAAGATGTTTTTATTTATAAAGTTGTCTATATAATATAATTGAAATACCAAAAGTGTGAGAGCCAATAAAGAAATATCATCATGCTATGATGAGAAAAGCTTTTTAGCTTAGTATCGAAACTTAAATAGCTTTGTTCACTTATAGACTCAAGTTTTTTAAACTTCTTATACCTATATTCTTGAAAACTTTAGTTTTTAAAAACTATAAAATCAAGTCAATGTTGTAGATTTTTATTACTATTATACTTCATGTTATAGACAAATAGTACACACCTTTTGTTTATAGTTATAATTTGTGTAGTTCTATAATAATTTATAAAAACTTTATAATGATACGTTCATATTTTATTTATTTTATTCAGAAAAGTAATTCATACAAAATATTACTGTTTTATATTGATCGTTCTTGTCCCCTTAAAACTATATTTTATGACAATATATAATATTATTTTGTGTTTTGAGAGAGGGGAAATAGTAACTTTATGGGGGGTCTAGTTTCCTAGAGCCCTTCATTGACACTTATGGACGAAATCTTACTATATGATTGATATTCACTGGGACACAACGCATTACCAACCAAACTATATAGACCTATTGAAAAATTAAATTTTAATCTAATTATAAGATCATATAATTGGGTTAAAAAAAGTATAAAATTAACTAAAAGCAATAAAACTAATAAAAAATACTGATTATTTGGTAACAAAAATATAAGGTTAACTGGATTAATAGTGTGGTTTACATATTTGATATTTACCTACTACAATGTGGAAGAATAATACTAATTGGAATAAAACCTTACATTCTAGCAATTATGTATTATTATTTATTATTATCAAAATTTAAATCTGCTTTCCATATATTTCTCTGATTACCTTAATTATTATCTAAGTGTAAAATATTATTATTTTAATAATTATTTAGTCATTTATGCAATATTATATCAAAACATTCTATATCCATTATTTAAAGTATTAGAAACATTTATTAAAAAACAGAGTAATTTAAGGTCATCTGTAAATAATGAGGTTTTGTTTCATAATAATGTACTTAAATTATAATTTATAGATTGCAGTGAAATGTAATATTTAGTAGAATTTATTCTAAGTAGTACAGAATAAATTGAATATTCATAACCCTAAAATATCTCATTTATCTAAATATTTGTTTTGATAAAGCCCATCAATTTTCTGACAATAACTTAAAATATTTTAAGAAATTATTACTAATTAAAAATGAAATAGAAAGTTGGTGGTAATTTAAAAGTATTCTTTTAATCAAATAATATTCATAATTTTCTGTATAAGGATTCTTATACTTATATAAAAATTTACATGTAATGATACAAAGGCAATAAAATCTTTTATCTAATTATTTTTAATTAAAATATATTAAATCTGAACTCGTATTTTTAAGTTGTTTAACCCTTTGTAAATATAATTTGATTAAAACCTAAGCAATCAGAAAATTTCTAATAGTCAATTTTCGTATGGAACTTGAAAGATTCAAATATGTTTATTAATTAATTTTCTTTTTTTTAGATAAGCTACTGTTAAAAAATGATTAAACAAATTGAAGATTAAAAAAAGGTAAGCAGTTAGGTTATAGTTTACACTTTTCTTTCGTTATTGTTTACAAAAGTAATGAATAAATTTATCGTGTATTTATTCATAATTTTAGTAAAAAATTTTGTTATAATAAATAAAGAGAATTTTGTATTTTTTTAAGTTTGAAGTCTCGATACTGTTGTGTATTACTTTGAAACCAAAATTTTTAAATAGAATTTCCCTATTGTTATATAAAAATGTATTTCATGTTAATATATATATATATGAAACTTTTAAATGATAATTAAAAACGTTTATACAAATATTCTATCTCAGAGTATATCCAATTTTAAATATAATGGTGTACTTTTTTAGATAAAATGAAATTATAAGTATAGATAGGCTATTGATATTTAATATAGATCATTTTACATTTTCTCTATCTATTAAATTTGAAGAAAACTGTTATTTTATAATAAAATGTACGTACAGTGACTTCTTAAAAGTGGGACGATTATCGGCAAAGTTATGATACAGTGTACCCGTTTTGTGAAAAAAAAACTTTGATTTAGTATTACGTTCCTGTTATTATTATTTTCTCAATATTTATGTACAGACGGAGGGAAAATACGAATTTTAACCAAAGTACTGATGGTGTTTAAAAATCATGTCTATTTTTTTTCTTCTTAATTTTTGGTAATGTTCCCAGTACATTTTGGGACCCAGAATATTAGGAACCCGACATAGTGTAGATCTCAGAATAGAAACATATTTTAAGAGATTTAATTTTGTAAAGGCACCAAATAGGCTGACGGAATACCGTCAAAACTTGAATAATAAACTTTGAATATAAATGTTGTAACGTCCAAACAGTTCTAGGACTCATTATTCAGATTAATCTTGTAATATTATAGAACAATAAAAAAGTATCCATTTTATTTAGTTTTGATTATTGTAGATGTTCTTTTGCTATGTAAAATACTTTAATATTGGCTATTCTTACCGAAAATGTTATTATTTTAAAACTAATTTGCCAATAATTAGATTTTAAATTTTCGGTTGATTTTTAATCTTAAGTACACTGTATTAGTATAAATTTGAGATATTTCTTGGGAAATAATTGAAATTTGAAAATAAATAAAATATTGACATAATATTAATATTAGTTAATTTATGAATTTCAAAAAACGCATGTCGTCAGCAAGGTAATTGTCACTAAAAGTTTTGTAATTATCTGTTTAGTTTTCAAAAAGTTATTTCTATGTATTGTGAAAAGTAGAAATGTCAAATTTAACCGGTTTTTATAAAATTTGTTTGATGAATTTCTATTTTTTATGGAATATATTTGAAAATGATTGTGTTAATAGATTCAATTAGATACGACATGTGATTTTTTTTATCTATTATTGAGCAAACTTGATTTAGTAGGAGTTGATTATTCGTTAGGACAGACTCACAAAAATATCATGTCTCAATAAAATCAATTTTTAATTTGACTTTGTATAAATATTTCAAGTATTTAATAATATTTAGTTTTATTTTTACTTAAAATATTGTTAAATACTGAATAATCCAACGTATATTTATAAATTATTGTCTAATTTGATTATTTTTTATTTTTTAGTGGTAAATACGTTTTCTGAAATCTTTTAGTTTTATTTTAATAAATGTGATTTATGATAATACATGAAACATTAAATTTCCTAAATGATTACGTAGTTTATGTACAATAAATAAGTATATTTCTATATTTTCTTTTACATTTAATGTTAACAAGAGAGTGTGTTTCTCAAATCATTAGTTTTTAAGAGTATTAAAAGTAAAAAACTAAATAACGTAGTAATTTATGATACAACTTATGGTTCAAAAATATTAGTTTTTATATCGTTAATTATTAGAAGTGCCTTTTTCAATAGGCTGATTACATTATTAAACTCCTTTCGTGTATCTCAATCCTATTTATTTAATATATGATTAAATTGTCCAGTTAAGGGAATCACTATTGTTAATGTAATGTATGCTACTAAAACTAAATGTATGTTGTTCAAATATTTATTGGGAATACTTAAGTTTAATGTTTTAAATAAATTACTTATATTTGTATATATTATTGTATTACATAAATATACAATAACTTTTAATAAACATGTGTTTGTAATAAATAAAAACCGTTATACGATTTATAAATCAATCTTATATGTGTTTTATATTACAGTTCATCAATTATTATTATTATTGTAATCCTAATAACTTGAAGATGAGTAATTTAAGTACAACTTTCTTAAAAATAATATACCTATAGCATGGTCATAAAATCATTAGCTATTAGACTTAATTCTCGATTTGTTTATGTATTTTCTTTCTAATGTGATTTTAATAATATTACGTGCAGTGAAGAAATTATTCTTGATATAAATGCTAAACTATGATTTGGGTTGAAAAATTATCGAAATATGTAACTTGTGACAAAGAAAAATTAAACATTATATCGTATTATAATTATTCTCTATATTTCATCATCTGTATGTTTAGTAACCTAATATTAACTTAATACTATGACTATACAACTAGTCTAATTGTTTTTTATGTAATATAATAATTCACTTTTATGCTAAGAATAATATACATGTGTATCCATTTTTAAACGTTAATTAAGATCCTCCAATTATTTTATATTATCAACGGCGTAGTACTTTTGAACTTGATAGTCCTAACTTTCATAGATAATTTACTCTAGGGGACTTATTAATTACTTATAGACTTTTTGATTACATAAAAACACTTAAACTAACATTAGAAACACAAAACTGGCCAATTGTCTACGATTGTTTAATTATACACCAATAGAAGTTAAATACAAATAAGGTTCCTAAATTTGTTTTGGTATAAAATGAATAATAAAATTTGTGTGTTTCTATGAACACCAAAGTTAACCCTATATGCATTATTCAATGGCATTAAGGTTAAATATATTCAATTTTTGAAATATTCTACTAAAATTAATTTCTCTGTGTCCAGATAACAGTATTCTACAAATTCTTTTGTTATATTTATAATTAATATTAAAATTCAATAACCTTTGACGCGACTTATGTCTTAAAAACTCAATTTGCTCCAAAATTTAATTAGGTAATATTTAAAAAATATAAGTTAATTTAATTAGTTTTAAAGTTAGAAAAACATTGTATCTACACCATTGACCATAAAATTTTAGACCAACCTACCAAGTAAGTATTACCAACTTAATATAGTTAGGAGTACTAACCTCTGCAAGTTATATACATAAGATATTTAAAAAATATAAAATATTTATTAAATTTAATACATTTCTTTAAAGGTATGAACATGAGTCAAAAATAATGTTTTCTCGGAGGATTCATTTTAATGTAAATAAATTATTAATATTTTATTTAAATATCACTAACGGAAAATTTGTTTTCATATAAACGTTTCAATTAGGTGACTTTGAATGGCATATATTCGTCTACACCTGTGCATTTTATGCTCCTCAAATATTCATTAAGTGATAAATGGATAGCATAATTTGTAATGTTATAATGATGGTCCGGAGAATTTCATAACCAAATATCTATTTACTAGGCTTTGCCTAGCTGCGGCTCCGCCTCAGTGACCTGGGACCCTACGGGCCTCACGCGCCTTCGTCGAGTAAGCCTCTTCGGTCCATCCTCATAAGTAGGCCATTGTTGGAGTACACAGCTACGCCGGGCACGATAAATGTTTTGCAAGAAAAATATTACATCAGAATCAGTTTAACAAAAATATATTAAAAATTTAGTTATTAATATTAGGAAAATTCAAAAAGAGAATATAGTAAAATGTATTGGGTATAAAGTTGATGTTTGTTAATGAGGTACTCCCCTCGGGCGTATTCAGAAATTATTTTAGGAGAGTATTTAATTTCTTTTACTTTGTTAAACATGCTATAGAATTTATTTTTGGTAAAAATCAAAGTTATCTTCAAAAAAAAAAAAATCATTAGGTCCTTATTTCTTAGAAGTTGTCTAAAAAAATATTGATAGCACTAGTTCAGGGGGGGAAATCGTCTATATCCTCCTTATATACGCCCCTGATATACACAATAATTATTAATATTATAATTATAATAATTGTATTTATATTTCATAGAATAATTAAAAAAAAATTCGGCAAGTTATATTACCTGGGACTATGTAAAAAATTTAAATAAAATATTGCTTACTGTGATTTGACGTTAGACAACATAATTGTCATAGATGGATCCCAATTTTTGCAATAAATTCATAGTCTTATACATCATATATGAGATAAATAAGATTCTTAATATTGTACTATTGATGATAAATTTACAAAAACTTATATACTTATCGCCGTCCTGAAATTTATATATAACTTAATTATATAATATATAAATAAGTTATATGTTATATTATAACATGTAACATTCCTTGATAAAATATACAAAGTATAGTTCTATGCGTAAATTCAAAATAGTATCTTAATATGAACTCTGCGTGGACAAAAAAAAGTTTAAAGAGAAAAAAGTACAATTGAATAGTAAGCTAATTATAAAGCATAAGATCAAACAAAATATATATATATAACAATAAACATGATTAAATATATCAACAAATTTGTATTATAAACATATTTAAAAGAAATCGACTGAAAGTGTTATAATAAAAGTATTCTTAATAAACTAAACATAATATATATAAAAAAAAAAGATAGTTAAACTAACATAATCAGTTCATATATGACAACAATAACATATATTAATAAAGAACTAAATAGAAAATTAAATCGTCATAAAAATTCATATTTTACAAATTAAGGGTCACAATAAACATATATGTAGAAATGAGTTAATGCCCATATTAACAACATGCATGTGAACTTCAAAAAAAAAAAAGGTCGTAAAACGGTGATAATGAACGGGTTGAATTAATTTTTGTATAATATCTCAGAAATGTCACCGAGCGCGGGTGTAGGGAAAATTTCAAACCCTAAGTCGAAAACGCTGACGTCAGCGATTGTTTTTCTCG